GGAAATAAAAAACACCATACGGCATCAAAAAATTGAGGTTTAGGCGGAAATTTTGACGCTTCGAAAAAAATTTTATCTTTAAAAATAAAATGCGCAGGGAGGTGGCTGATTTGAGAAAGAATGCCCCATATATATCATAATAAACACACATTTCATAAAAATTTAAAAGGATTTTCATTGGAAATACTAATAAAGTAATTTAAACATATTGATAAAAATAATCATAACATAAATTTTTGGTTTTAAACTTATTTAGTCTTAAATTTTTATTCGATATTTTTCTTTTCATTAGCACTCGAACCCGTGTTGCAAACAAATCCCTGTGTGCCATCTCCTTGTGGGGCAAATGCTGAGTGTCGGGTTGTAGGCGATGCTCCCTCATGTTCATGTCTAGCTGGATTCTTGGGTTTGCCACCATATTGTAGACCCGAGTGCATTAGCAATAGTGAATGCCCTGCTCATTTAGCGTGTATGAATCAGAAATGTAGGGATCCTTGCGAAGGTTCCTGCGGAGCTAACGCCGAATGTCGTGTAGTGAGTCATACACCCATGTGTGTTTGTCCTAGCGACTTCACCGGCGATCCATTTACACAGTGTACCATGAGACCACGTAAGCATCGATCTTATACATACAGAACTAAATTTACTTACAGAATTAAATTATATTTAGATCTGAGCACGTTTTTAGTTTTTGATTTTTATATGAATTGTAGAACCTTATTAACCATCTTCTAGAGTCTAGATTAGAAATTAGAAACTTTCTAATTTTTCTTAAAAAATTACTGTTAAAAATTAGTTGCTTGGAACATTTCCTACTTTATATTCTATTTTCAGCCACACCAATCCCACTATCACCTTGTAAACCGTCACCCTGTGGCTTTAATGCAATTTGCAAGGAACAATTTGGTGTCGGATCCTGTTCTTGCTTACCAGATTATGTCGGCAATCCTTACGAAGGATGTCGACCAGAATGCGTGGTTGATACAGATTGCATATCTATTCTTGCTTGCGTACAATCAAAGTGCAGAGATCCATGTCCTGGTGTTTGTGGACAATTTGCCGAATGTCAAGTTATCAATCATCGACCATCTTGCACATGTATTTCCGGTTATAGTGGCAATCCCTTCCAATACTGTACTGTAATACGCGATGTCGGTACGAATATTTTCTTTAATACTGAGAAACTTTATATTTAGCTTATTGAGATTTTGTACATTTTTCTTGTTTTATTTAAAATTTTTTATTTTATACTTTTGACAAGATTCGTGATATTATGGTATTACTTTATTTTGTTTTTAAATAATTTTTTTAATGCGTGTTAATTTAAGAATGTGTAATAATAATTATATCTTAATATTTTTGTAAATGAATATTTAAATAATCTTTCCTTTTTTAATATCTTAAAAATTTGAAAGATACATCTATCATTTTAGTCGATACTCCGAGAGATGTTTGTAATCCGTCGCCTTGTGGACCCAACAGCCAGTGTCGTGTTAATAATAATCAAGCAGTCTGTTCTTGCCTACCGATTTTTATCGGTAATCCACCTGCATGTCGCCCTGAATGCGTGACAAGTTCGGATTGTTCCCTCAATCTTGCTTGTTTGAATCAAAAGTGCCAAGATCCCTGTCCTGGCTCTTGCGGCAGAAATTCGAATTGCAGAGTCATCAAACATAATCCGATTTGCTCTTGCAAGAACGGTTTTACCGGTGATCCATTTACTGTTTGCTTCCAGACACCTGGTACGATTTTCAGTTTTGTCTAATATTAATTTTTGGTGACCTATATATAGTGTCCTGTTTTAACTTTGACATTAAAATATCTCGAAAAATATAAATAATGATCTTTTATATGCAGAATAGCTAGAGGAATCATATTATGTAAATAAAATCATACAACTTTATTTAGAAAAATAGTCACACTCTTTAAACTGTTCATAATTCGTTGCAGTGAGTCCGCCTGTTGTAAGTGATATTACGAGAGATCCGTGCATACCATCACCTTGTGGCATGTTTTCCGAATGTCACGATATAGGAGGAGTACCATCATGTTCTTGTTTACCAACATACAGAGGCAGTCCGCCAAATTGTAAACCAGAATGCACAATTAATGCAGAGTGCCCAGCTAATATGGCTTGCATGCAGCAAAGATGTAAAGATCCCTGTCCAGGTTCATGCGGCATCATGGCCGAATGTAGTGTCATAAATCACGTACCGATTTGTTCGTGTTTGCCCGATTACACTGGCGATCCTTTCATCGGATGTTCCGTAAAACCACGTAAGATTCCCCATCAGAAATATATAATAATAGTTTTTTGTTGTTCTTATTATAATATACTTGATCTTTTTCTTGCGCGAAATTATTGCAGTCATTGTTGCCCCTTCTAAACCGGACCCGTGCACACCTTCGCCTTGCGGACCTAATACGCAATGTAATGGAGGAATTTGCGTTTGTATAGCAGAATATTTTGGGGATCCTTATAGCGGTTGTCGACCAGAATGCGTATTGAATAACGATTGTCCGAATACGCAAGCGTGCGTACGAAATAAATGCGTGGATCCTTGTCCAGGTGTTTGCGGCCAAAATGCTATGTGCAATGTGTACAATCATGTTCCTATGTGTACTTGTCCCTCGGGAATGGATGGAAATGCTTTCGTCCTATGTTCTCCCGTGCCAGGTATTCTTTGGAAATCTTAACCATAACAACTGATATATTAAAATATTAAATGATCTTATTTAATAGCCAATAATATCCGTATTCTTAGTACATCAAATCTTTATTCTATAATTAAAATTTTTTCTTCTTATAGCACCACCCATTAGTAACCCATGTAATCCGTCTCCGTGTGGTCCGAATAGTCAATGCCGAGAAAATAATATGCAGGCTGTATGTAGTTGCATAAGTGGATTTGTCGGCGCGCCTCCGACTTGCAGGCCCGAATGTGTAATTAGCTCAGATTGCCCAAAGAATGAAGCATGCACCAATCAAAAATGTCAGGACCCTTGTCCGGGAAGTTGCGGTCGCAACTCAGTCTGCAACGTCATTAATCACAATCCTATTTGCGTCTGCCGTTCTGGGATGACCGGAGATCCGTTTATTAATTGTTTCCCCCTTCGTAAGAGAAAATTTTTTCTTATTCTTTCTAAAATAACGTTTCACAAACTAATTTTCGCGATTCATTTTATTCTATTACTTCGAACATGCGCATAGCATAAATAAATTTCAATATAGTGCCTTAGTTAATGTTAATCGGTATTACTTTAAAGCTGAGGATCCATTACCTGTGCTTAATCCTTGTCAACCATCACCGTGTGGACCAAACGCACAATGCCAAGTGATTAATGATCAACCCTCTTGCTCATGCTTGCAAGAATTTATTGGATCACCCCCGAACTGTCGGTCTGAGTGTATCAGCAATAGCGAATGCTCGAACAAAATGGCTTGCATCAATCAAAAATGTCGCGATCCGTGCATTAATGCATGCGGCATCAATGCCGTTTGCAATGTTGTTAGTCACACACCGATGTGCGCATGCACCCCCGGTTACACTGGTGATCCGTTTACGCAATGTTCTCCCCAACAATGTAAGTAAATTTTAAAGAATAATTCAAATATTCAAATAGTTTAGAAGTCAGATTTATTTCAACTTTTATTCGATTTCTATTAATTCACAAACTTTTTATATGTGAAAAAATTAATAATGAATCTAATATTAGATTATTATTATGAGCTTACAATTTATCAAGTACGTTTTCGTTTAAGAATGGATAATCAAATTACTTTTTTATTCTTATTTTAGTCGACATACAGCCTAGCATATCCACGCCATGCACACCATCTCCGTGTGGTGCAAATGCAGTATGCAGAGTTCAGCAAAATGCTGGTTCTTGCTCGTGCTCGACCGATTATATTGGCAATCCTTATGAAGGGTGCAGACCTGAGTGTACACTCAATTCCGACTGTCCGTCCAATCAAGCATGTATTGGTTTAAAATGTAAAGATCCATGTCCAGGAACATGCGGCCAAAACGCGCAATGCTACGTGATTAATCATGCACCAACTTGTACTTGCTTCGAGCGGTACACGGGAAATCCATTCATATTCTGCAATCTTATTGTTGAAGCCCGTAAGAACTCGCTTAAAAATTTCGTGCGCATTTATTTTATAGGCAATTATGTGATTTTAAATACCTGACTTTCTTGCAGCGGTTATAGCAGATAACGTTAATCCTTGTCAACCATCCCCTTGCGGACCATATAGTCAATGTAGAGAAAGCAACGGCCAAGCTGTTTGCTCTTGTTTACCGACTTATATCGGCGCACCACCTGGTTGTAGACCCGAATGTACAATTAGCACAGATTGTGCGACAAATCGAGCTTGCGAAAATAATAAGTGTGTTGATCCTTGTCCCAACTCTTGCGGTCAAGGCACGACGTGTAGAGTCGTAAACCATAGTCCAATATGCATTTGCAAACCCGGATTCAGCGGTGATCCATTCATACGCTGCCTATTTGTACCACGTAAGCGGAACGAATCTTATATACATTATAACTTTTACTCTACAGTTCATTTTTTATATTTAAAAAATGTTAATAGTTTGTAATTTTTTAAAGAAATAATTGTATTTGCATTAAAATTTTCCTTTGTTTTTATTTAAAACTTTTGTTACATGAAATAGAGCAAAGTTATATTCTTAGAAATGTAAAAAATTTTTTTAATTACATAGAATATTTTATATTTTTAATTAAAAAATAGTTCTATAATTAAATTTTATTTTAAAAGCATTTTTTTAAATGTTTTGTTGAGATTCAGAGATTTTATTATAAATTTTAGCTACTCCGAGTTACTTACCAAGCCTACCCTCAGACCCTTGCATACCCTCACCTTGCGGATCTAATTCGCAATGTCGCAACGTCAACGGTTATCCATCTTGTTCTTGTATGATTAATTACATTGGTACACCACCAAATTGTCGTCCCGAATGCGTTATTCCTGCCGATTGTCCGAGCAATCAAGCTTGTATTCGTGAGAGATGCCAAGATCCCTGTCCAGGTTCTTGTGGTCTGAATGCCGATTGTACTGTTCATAATCATATTCCAATCTGCAGATGTATAGAAAGTTATACTGGTGATCCATTTATTGGTTGTCAGCCTGTACCGATCTGTAAGTTTATATCAAAATTTTCTTTATTTTTGCAATTATATATTTTCCAGTGTATTTACAACTTTATTTGATAATTGTAATAATATATAGACAACGAGCCAACACAGCCAACTGATCCATGCAATAGATCACCTTGTGGACCAAACGCTCAATGCAACAATGGTATTTGTATTTGTTTACCTGAATATTTTGGTGATCCATACGTTGGCTGTCGACCAGAATGCGTACTTAGTACAGATTGCTCAACCGACAAGGCATGCATACGAAACAGATGTGTCGATCCTTGTCCTGGTACGTGTGGACAAAACAGTTTATGCAATGTAATAAATCATACACCGATGTGCAGTTGTCCCCCTGGTACTTCTGGAAACGCATTCATTTCTTGTGATGTAATAAGAGGTATGATATCAGAAGCGAAGAAATCTGATTCACGTGTTCGAAAATATGCTAATTAGTATCTACCCTATTATATGTAGTCCCTTCCGTGACAAGACCATGCAGCCCGAATCCTTGTGGTCCAAACAGCATATGTAGAGAATTAAATGAACAAGCTGTGTGTACTTGTGCACCAGAGTTTCTCGGTGCACCACCTCTCTGCCGACCCGAATGTACCCTTAGTTCTGACTGTCGGCCGAACGAAGCTTGCGCTAATCAAAAATGCAAAAATCCTTGCCCCGGTACATGCGGCATCCAAGCAAGATGCGTAGTCGTCAATCACAACCCTGTTTGCTCGTGCCCCGAGCGCTACACAGGCGATCCATTTATCAGATGCGATATTATGAGTAAGAATATCTTGATTCAAAGTATGTGAGCTTTAGATCCATAAGCTTCGGCCACCAGATTAAGATCGAAACATGATTGTTATTCCATTTAGAACCAATAGCACCTGTAGTAATAAACCCTTGTCAGCCTTCGCCCTGTGGTCCGTACGCTCAGTGCCAGGTCGTTAACGATTTGCCATCCTGCTCGTGTCTATCTGAATACAGAGGCTCTCCCCCGTATTGTCGACCTGAATGTATTTCAAATCCTGAGTGCCCCAGCCATCAAAGTTGTGTGCGACAAAAATGCAGGGATCCCTGCCCAGGTTTATGCGGGGAAAATGCGGAATGTCATGTGATACAACACGTGCCCCATTGTGTCTGTTCCTACGGTCTCACCGGTGATCCGTATACGCGTTGCTCTGCGATACGTAAGGGATAAAACCTTTTCTATAAAGTTTCAAAATTAACTGACCTTACTTTTGTGCGACATTGCTTAATCTATTTGTCCTTTATGTTGTTTTAGCACGCCCAATAGAACTGGAACCAGTATCCTCGCCTTGCATAAACTTTGAATGTGGTGCGAATGCGATATGTAGAGAGCGAGATAGTATCGCAATATGTCAGTGTATCTCTAGCTATGTCGGTAATCCGTACTTAGCGTGTCGACCCGAATGCATTATTAATCCTGATTGTGCATCCAATTTGATGTGCGTAAGAAACAAGTGCACCAATCCTTGCGCCGGTATGTGCGGTCGAAACGCCGAGTGCTCGGTCGTTAATCATCAACCGATATGCACATGTCTTCCTGGATATACCGGAGATCCTTTCATTTCTTGTTCTATAGACAGTAAGTGTTTTTAATCAAATAGTCTAATTTTTATTTTGCGATAATTTTTTATGATAGAAATATCGTACAAAATGTTGAATCCAAAAAATATTATATATATTGATTTTTTTTTATGAATCTTATTACATAATTATTGAAATTTAAATGAGATGTTCCATACGTAGTTAACATCTTTTTGTGTTTTTCAAATTTTTAACTTTATTAAAAAGAAAATTTGAAGCAAAAGATTTAAAACCTTTTTTAAACTGTTTTAATTAATATTTAAAATTTTTACATTTTTAAAAGAAAAAAATTAATTTTTTATATTTTATATTTTTATGTACAGTTTTAAAAGATAATTAAAAATTAATTACATTTAGAAATAAATTTTATGGATGTTTTTATATTTATCTACATAATTTTACTAATATATTAAATTTTCTCAGAAATAATCTCCGATGAGAACGTTTGCGCCCCATCACCCTGTGGACCCAACAGCAAATGCAAAGAAGTATCCGGACAGGCTGTCTGTTCATGCCTTCCGACATACATTGGAACCCCACCTGCATGTAGACCTGAATGTGTCGCTAGCTCAGAGTGTTCCCCACAATTAGTGTGCAAGGACTACAAATGCGTGAACCCCTGCCCAAGTCCATGCGGACTCAATACTAATTGTGTGGTCGTTAATCATAGCCCCATCTGTAGTTGTATGTCCGGTTACAGCGGAGATCCATTTACCATATGCTCTTTAATTCCACGTAAGATCATCAAATTCATGAAGATTATATCAATATAATCTCTCAACATATACTGCTATATGTCGCATAATCGTCACCAATCATAACTCCAAACGTTTTCCAGCTATAACACCACCACTAGTACAGAAAGACCCTTGCGTGCCATCCCCGTGTGGTAGCTTCTCTCAATGCAGAAATATCGGTGGTTCTCCCGCGTGTACCTGCTTGGAAAATTATATTGGTCAACCACCGAATTGCAGACCTGAATGTACCATACACTCAGAATGTCCGAGTGATAAGGCCTGTATCAATATGAAATGTGTGGATCCATGTCCCGGATCGTGTGGCACCAATGCTCTGTGTTCGGTTATTAACCATATTCCCACGTGCAGATGTCCCGAGGGATATACTGGAAATACATTTGTTCTTTGCGAGATATTGCCAGCAATAAGTAAGCGATACGAGCCATCCAGTATCTAACTTGAAATCTTAACATGAATCATAGCGTGATTCGAGTTCGTTAATCCCTATATCGATTATATTTTGCAGCGACTCCATCCCCGATCGAAGATGCCTGCGTTCCGTCACCCTGTGGTCCTAACGCGCAATGTTTTGACGGTATCTGTACTTGTCTACCGGAATTCCGAGGAGATCCGAATGTAGGTTGTCGACCAGAATGCGTCCTAAATGCGGATTGTCCCCGCGATAGAGCGTGTATACGTAACAAATGCCTGGATCCATGCCCTGGAGCTTGTGCTGTTAACGCATTATGCACCGTGATCGGTCACATTCCCATGTGCAGTTGCCCTGGAAATATGACTGGCAATGCATTTAGCCAATGTACACCTCTACAAGGTATATATAAGCTTCCCGATATTTACGATAAGGATCACCTTTATTTTCGATACTATAAAATTATGTGAAGTAACATTTTTTCGTAAATTATTCCTGGGGATTAAATATCTATTATTTTTGTGTACTAGACATACCACTTGCTAATCCGTGCATCCCTTCACCTTGCGGACCGAATAGTGAATGCCGTGTTATAAATAATCAGGCGGTTTGCTCCTGTATAAAAGGATATTTAGGAAGTCCTCCGACCTGCAGGCCCGAATGCATAGTCAGCACGGATTGCTCCCAGAATGAAGCTTGTAGCAATCAAAAATGTACGAATCCTTGTCCTGGAAGTTGTGGATTAGGCGCATCCTGTCAAGTAGTGAATCATAATCCGATTTGCATTTGTCCACCCTCTCAAACGGGTGATCCTTTTGTTAGATGCTATTTATCACCACGTAAGTACCGCTTGTTATGTCCATGTTTATAATCAATGCGGAAGTTTCGAGAAAATCCTTGTTCTTTTTTTTATGCATCGAACTTTGTCCTTTTAGCTCAAATACCTGTGTTACCCCTCACACCATGCAAGCCAAACCCGTGCGGTCCCAATTCGCAATGTCAACCACGCGGCGATGAATCTGTATGCACGTGTTTGCCCGATTTTATTGGCAGTCCGCCAAATTGCAGAGCAGAGTGCGTTAGTAACAGTGAATGTTCTAATCATTTAGCTTGTATTAATATGAAATGTCGGGACCCATGCATTGGTTCCTGCGGTGCGAACGCTAATTGTCACGTTGTCAGTCACACCCCGATGTGTTCTTGTATAAATGGTTATACCGGTGATCCATTTACTCAATGTATCTTAAGAGAACGTAAGTATCATTTGGGAAAAACTGATATAATTTTGATAATTTGCTACATGTTTGAAATACAGAAAATCTTGCATCAAAATTATAGCATTACATATTATCACAAATAAATTTTATTAAAATGAAATATCGCCGTAATTATAGAATATAAAAAATCAATATGATTTTAATACCTGTTTTATACAGAAATATTCATCTTTTTTTTTATTCTCTTGTTAATTATACAAATAACATAAATTTATATTATATAAATATTTATATTATATAAATTTTAATGAATTTATATTAAAGAAAATATATAAATTTATAAAAATTTATGTAATGTTTTTTAGAAATTATATGAATTTTTATAAATTCTATGCTTACTAATATCACTTTTTAGCCACACCATTGCCGCCTGCACCAATTGATCCTTGCAATCCTTCCCCTTGTGGTTCTAATGCGATGTGCAAGGAATTCAACGGTGCCGGTTCATGTACATGTTTGCCGAATTACACCGGTAACCCGTACGAAGGATGCAGGCCGGAATGTGTCTTAAATTCGGATTGCCCTGCCAACTTAGCTTGTGTAAATATGAAATGTAGAGATCCATGCCCGGGATCGTGCGGGCGCAATGCATTATGCCAGGCTGTTAATCATTTGCCAGTATGCAATTGTTATCCTAGATATACCGGCGATGCCTTTTCATATTGTACTCCGATAGAAATAGGTATGATTACATTGTATCTGAATACACTTATCGTTAGTTGCAATTCGGTTCATAACGAAATGTGGTTAATTTGTGAAACAATGCAATTTTAGAAGGAGAAAATGCTGTGAGTAATCCTTGTGAACCGTCACCATGTGGACCTAACAGCTTATGTCGCGTTGTGGATAGTACGAGCGTTTGTACTTGTTTACCTGATTTCCAATGGGTAGCCAGCCCACCAAATTGTCGCGCTGAGTGCACTGTTAGTGCTGAATGCGCTTTCAATCTAGCATGCATCTCATATAAATGTAACGACCCTTGTCGTACATTGTGCGGTTCCAACGCAAGATGCGAAACGATTAATCATAATCCCATTTGCTCGTGCCCATCTAGTTTTACCGGTGATCCATTCGTTGCCTGCTTTGAAATACCATGTAAGAATAATTGAAAATAGAAAATTTCGTAAATCGAAATTATAAAGTGATATAAGTCAATCATTAAGAGGTCGAAGAAATATTTTCTTAAATTCTGAATATATTTTTTTGAGAAAAATTTCTTTTTGCTTTATGTATTTTTTTAAACAAAATTAATTTTTTAAGTAACTTTTTTTGTATTAGATGAAATATCTTTTATTTTTCTATTGTTTTGATAATTAAAAAAATTGTATTGAAACACGTCATCAAAGATATTCAAGAAAAAGCGCATAACAGATATATTTGTATGCCCATAGCTAAAGATGAAGAACCTCGTCCACTTGTGAACCCTTGCGTACCTTCACCTTGCGGACCTTATTCAGAATGCCGTGACATTAACGGTCAAGCATCTTGTGCTTGTTTGTCAACATATATAGGAACACCACCCAATTGCAGACCCGAATGTTCAGTTAATCCAGAATGCCCGACTAATCAAGCGTGTATACAGAGAAAGTGTCGAAATCCTTGCGATGGAGTTTGTGGAGTAGGAGCAATTTGTAACATCATTCGTCACACACCCACATGTTCTTGTTCCAGTGGATTCACTGGGGATCCATTTGTAATGTGTAGACCAATTCCCGAAGAAGGTAAGACAATCAGAAGAAAATTTGTAATATCATTCATAGAGTAATAGACAAGCCTGAGAATATTTCTTTATGATATTTAGAGTGTGGTAAAATATCTCCAACTCACAATAAGCTTTATCGTAAACTAAATGTTAAAATTCATTCTTCAGATACAACACTCAAACCGACAGATCCGTGCTTAAATTGCGGTGCGAATACGCAATGCTTTAACGGTATATGCAGTTGCCTTCCCGAATATCAAGGAAATCCAAACTTTGGATGTCATCCAGAATGTATTCTAAATTCAGACTGCCCAAGACACCGGGCTTGCATTAAGAACAAATGTCAAGATCCGTGTGGTCTTGGAATTTGCGGTGTCAATGCCTTGTGTTCTGTCATAAATCACATACCAGTTTGCACTTGTGCACAGAGGATGTCTGGCAACGCGTTTGTACAGTGCTCCCCAATAGCTGGTACTCATTCGATTACTTTCAGTTTGTGTCATAAATTATTGATATTGTAATTATTCTTTGCTATAATTATATTCTTTTTTTTTAACATTTAAATAGACACGATACCAAAAGATCCATGTAATCCATCACCTTGTGGACCGAATAGTCAGTGCCGAAAGATAAAGGAACAAGCTGTCTGTTCGTGTCTCCCTGGATACTTGGATGCACCACCTAATTGCCGAGCGGAATGCATTATTAGTTCCGACTGCCTCGCTAACAGGGCTTGCAATAATCAAAAATGTATAGATCCCTGCCCTGGAACGTGCGGTATTAGAGCCCAATGTACTGTAGTTAACCACAATCCGATTTGTTCTTGTTCCTCTGAGTTAACCGGAGATCCCTTCACTCAGTGTATTCCAAGACGTGAGTAATTTAAAAGCAACAGTTGATCAGTAGTATTGGAGGTATTTATCGTTAAGAAAACATTGTATTTTTTATTTTTCCCAGCAGCGATAGAATCTCCAACGCCCATTAATCCCTGCGTTCCATCTCCATGTGGACTTAATAGTAAATGCGAAGTTGTAAACAACGCATACTCCTGCTCTTGCTTGCCAGAGTTTATTGGCAATCCACCAAATTGTAGACCCGAATGCGTTAGCAATAGTGAATGTTCTATACAGCTAGCGTGCATCAATCAAAAGTGTCACGATCCATGTCCGGGTTCCTGCGGTATTAATTCTGATTGTCGAGTAATAAGTCACACACCTATGTGTGTTTGCCTTATCGGATTTGAAGGAGATCCATTTGTACTATGTAATCCCAAGCAAAGTAAGTGCAGTAATTATGTATTGTCTAAAGTACTTAGAATCATAGAATGCATTTTTAATTGTCGATATTATGGCAAATTTTTAATTTTTGACATTAAATAGCGACTAAATTAAATTTTTATCAAAATTGAATTAAGAATCAAGTTTAATTCAAGTAAAAAATGAAATATAAGAGTATTATTATGTTTTGTTATTATTTATACGTATATATATTATTTTTTTCCCATTATTATATATACATATATAAATTATTTATTATTGTAATTTATTATAGTTTTTATACTTATGATTCAAACTCAATGCTTCGCTATTATGGCAATTATTTTATTGAATTATTTTAGTATCTGCAATCGAAAATACATTCAGTGATTCTCTGGGATGCTCATTGATAATTTACTAGAGCTATTGATATTGCCTTAAAAACAAGAAATGAATTTGATATTTTTCGTAGGCGACGTTATAAATGCTGTAAAACCAACACCTTGTATTCCGTCACCATGTGGTTTTAATGCGGTATGCCGTGAATCGAATGGTGTTGGTTCTTGCATGTGTCTATCAGATTATACAGGCAATCCATACGAAGGTTGTCGACCCGAGTGTACGATAAACTCCGATTGCACCTCAGATCGAGCGTGCGTCGGATCGAAGTGTCAGAATCCTTGTCCAGGTTTTTGCGGATATAATGCGATTTGCCAAGTAGTGAATCACGCGCCGTTGTGCACATGTCAACCTGGATACAGTGGCAACCCGTTCGTCTCTTGTAACAGAATTGTACAAGATACGTGTAAGTGCTTCAAGTTCTTACGAGATGCAGTTTAATCTAATCTAATAATTAATTAATCCTCTATTTATCGGAATATTTTCAAAACTTTTAAATTACCTAAAATTAATTATAATGTAATAACATCTATAGAATTTTATAACAATTCATTGTCAGTACAAGTCACAAATCAATAATTTTTTACAATTTTGTTACACTTATTTCAACCATGTAAAATTCTCGTAATTGTACAAAATTTAACTTATAATCTTCTTTTTTTAGCATTAGAACTTAATCCATGCAGCCCTTCTCCTTGTGGACTTAATAGTCAGTGCCGTGAATTAAATGGTCAAGCGGTGTGTTCTTGCTTACCCACATTTATCGGAATCCCACCGAACTGTCGTGCGGAGTGTACTGTCAGTTCCGATTGCCCCGTAAATCGTGCTTGCAAAAATCGTAAATGCGTTGATCCATGCCCTGGAATTTGTGGCATCAATGCAAGATGTGAAGTGATTAATCATAGTCCGATTTGCAGTTGTAATCAAGGTTTCACCGGTGATCCCTTTGTAACATGTTTCCAAACGCGTAAGTACGCTGAAAGATACTTGTTTAAAGCATCGTTGCATATACGTGTTATATAAAATTTGATTTGAATTAAGAAAGCGCGTACGTTTTTTAAGTACGTAACGTAAACATTTTGTATGATATTAAAAAAATTATTCGTTTACAGTTATAGACAAAGATACCCCTCAAACGCCAGAAAATCCGTGCGTTCCATCCCCCTGTGGTCCATTTGCCACTTGTCGCGATAGCGGCTACGCGGGCGTGCCAACGTGCACGTGTATGGAAAATTACATTGGTAGCCCTCCGAATTGTCGGCCAGAATGTACCGTTGATTCTGAGTGCAACAATAATCAAGCCTGCTTGAGACAAAAATGCAGAGACCCGTGCCCTGGCTCGTGTGGTATCGGTGCCCAATGCCTCGTGGTTAATCACATGGCAGTCTGTCTCTGCCCGAAAGGTTACACCGGGGATGCGTTTGCTAATTGCTTTCCGGAACCTGCTCGTAAGCATTTATCCTCATTATTTCATACAACATATATATTATTCACATGATTAATAAAAGAGAAATTAAGAATCAAGTTGAATGCAAGTTTTCTGAATTAACTTTTTAATAAAATTTTCTCAGCAAATTTTAAATAATTAATTTATAATTTAAGCATTGTGAAAAACTAACGTCGATTATAAATTTATTATAATGAGTTATATATATCAAATGTTTTTACTATGTGAAGGTAATTATTACAAAATGACAGTATATTAGAAAATTTCAAAACACGAAACCGGAAAGATTTGTTCTGTATCGTTAGACCTTTAAAAGCAGAAACGTTAATTTAAAATGGATAATGACATTTGCAGCTGCTTCTATACCGCAAGATCCTTGTAATCCATCTCCATGCGGAGCTAACGCAGTATGTCGCGACGGCGTTTGCACCTGTATGCCTGAGTTCCATGGTGATCCTTACACCACATGTCGACCCGAATGTGTACAAAATCCGGATTGTCCATTAGACAAAGCTTGTGTTCGTAACAAGTGTTTTGATCCGTGCATTGGAGTTTGCGGGCAAAACGCAAAGTGCACAGTGATAAATCACACTCCAATGTGCGCCTGCCCAGATGGAATGTCCGGCAATGCGTTTGCTGCGTGTTATCCGGTGATTCAAGGTAAAATTAATTGACAATCGTGTGTTTTGTATACTAGGGACAATTATTAACTAAAGATTCCTATCACAGGAATTATTTTGTCGCGAAAAAATTTAATTTGCTCAAAGATGTCTTGAAACGAAAACAATTTCGATAATAATTGCTTTTGCAGATCAAACCGTTATTGAGAATCCATGTAACCCATCGCCTTGCGGTCCAAATAGTAGATGTCAGAATTTTAATAATCAAGCAGTATGTACGTGTATAATTGGATTCATAGGAAATCCGCCAGCCTGCCGACCCGAGTGCATAGTTAATACTGATTGTGCACTGAACGAAGCTTGCATCAACATGAAATGCGGCAATCCTTGCCTTGGTGCGTGTGGTATATCCGCTCGTTGCCAAGTGTTGAATCATAATCCAATTTGCACCTGTCCTCCTGTATTTACTGGCGATCCGTTTATACGTTGTGTACCAAGACGTAGGTTTCTATGATTACTAAAAACACTAGACGCACGTTTATCAAGTACATAACAATTTATATATTTTTATCTTAAAGCGGAAGATATTCCAAAACCGATAAACCCGTGCCAACCATCGCCTTGCGGTTCTAATTCTCAGTGCCAAGTCATCAATGATACGCCATCGTGTTCTTGCACGATAGAGTTCATTGGGACACCACCGAATTGTAGACCAGAGTGCATTAGTAACAGCGAATGTCCGAGTCAAATGGCATGTATTAATCGAAAATGTAGAGACCCATGTCCTGGATCTTGTCACTCTCTGGCTAATTGCTACGTCGTTAATCATGTGCCCACTTGCACGTGTCGCGTCGGTTACACAGGCGATCCATTTGTTCAATGCACGATCATGCCCAGTAAGTTCAAATAGACTTGATTTCTAAGTGTTTTTTTTTTATAAACGCCTTATTGAGTGATTAGCATTGTGTTCATTGTTATCAATAATAATTCTTTTTAATATTACACTTTGATTATTATAGTAATACTACAACTATGAAACTTAATCAATAGAGTTCTATAATATTAATTAAGAAGGTATTAATTCGAAGTTGATGTTATGGATAGGATAAAATTATGTTTTTTTAGGCGAACCACCGACACCAAGACAACCTTGTCAACCATCCCCTTGTGGAACAAATGCCATATGTAGAGAACAAAACGGCGTCGGTTCTTGTACATGTTTGCTTGAATATATTGGGAATCCCTATGAAGGATGCCGCCCCGAATGTACCATTTCGTCAGATTGCCCCGCACATTTAGCTTGCATTGGATCAAAATGTCAGAATCCATGTCCTGGTTCGTGTGGTACCAATACCAATTGCCAAGTTGTCAACAATATTCCCATTTGCACTTGTATCCCTGGTTACACTGGCAATCCATACATAAACTGCATTTATCAGACTCTCAGTAGTAAGTAACATTAAACAAATATAAGAAATTAATATACAAAGTGGCATTTCTATAAGAAAATGATTATATATACATAAT